TTTTTTCAGGCACGTCTTAACTGAAAAAATAGGACCGACACAGGTAATTTTACAGTAACTTAGTGTTTTTCGAAAAGCGTCATAACTACTCAAATCATATACATTCTCTAATGATATTATACACAATTCATGTTGTGTAATGTTCTACTTGCATGATGGCTACCGGCAAGAGCAAAACACTTCTTACCAAAAGTTTCTTTGATTCTATATCTTGGATCCGAGATATTTGGTAAATGATAGGACGAAATCTTAATCTTCAACAACATTTTCAAAGGTAAAACTTTGAGAGAGGGTCACATGGGAGAACATAATAACTTATAATTTTAGGTGAGAAGAAGCAGCAACCCAGTCTGACCTTGCTGGTCCAAGTATCCTTGTACTCCACTATATATGGATGACATAACTAATAAAAATATATTATATGTCACATTAAACAAATTATGTTATGTCTATTGATGTGCATTACATTTGTGCCTCTTTGCTCTCTTCAATTGTGGAAAAAGGTGATCAGTAGTTTTCAGTAACTTATGTAACCACCAACTCTTTACTTCATCCATTATTCAATCTTTATGTCATGTGACTTATGTAACGTTTGAGCCATTCGATTGGTAAATTTATTATCCACTATTTTCTTATTCATTGCAAGGAAAAATTCATTACCTATAAATGGGGTGGTCTTCCTTTGCATTGTGATAGAAGAAAAAACAAGATCGAGAAGTACAAGAAAATATAAAGTGAAAAAGATGAGTAGTATTTTATAGTGTTTATATTGAATATAGTGTTGTAGTGAAAGAGAGAGTTGAGACAAAGAACTTCAACTATATTTACTATATACAAAAAAAAATATTTATATATTGAAGGAAGGTGTTCTTTTGTGGAGCTTTTGACTCTTCAATCCAGACATTCAAATATTAAGCATAATTTTAATTTTTCTTTAATGCTTAATGATGTAATTAGTACTTAATAAACTTATTTTAGCATTATTTAGTACTTTAAATTTATAATCATTTTCATTATGACCTATCAATTTGATTTATATATACGATTTCACTGTTGTTCTTTATTGAATATTTTAGTGTCTATCACTTATCTCATATTTTTTGTTATTTTTTAAAGAAACACCTTATATAGTTGTATTCTGATTGGACTAAAAAGTATTTGGAAGACAAGTTAATTATGTGTTTATCTCTGTTCAGAAAAAAAATTATGTGTTTGTAATTCAATTTAGTTTGATTTGATTTATAAATTTAAAATTTTGACTCAAATAATTTTATTTGATATTTGAAACGAGTTTAACTTTTATGCTCTGTCAGTGTATATTTTTTTTTACACTAATACATACTTTTAAGGCAAGTTTCTTTTTATTATTAATAATTTTCTTTTATAAAATAAAAGTATCAAATACAGTAATATAAGGTAATTAGGATTCTACTTTTATTTTACCCATTTGTTTAAGATTCTCTTTCTTTACTAAATAAAATTATCAACTTTTACAGAATTTAATGAGTATTAAGCTTGACATATAGAGCTTCAAGACTCATAGAGAGGCAAGTATCTAGAGTTTGGTTGTTACTTTTCTTTTCCCTAGAAAATCA